AAAACTAGCCTCCTCCGCAGGCATCGCCTTTAGATAGGCGGGCGGAATTTGGTTGCGGGTAAACCACGAGAGACTGCGGAGGAGGCTAGGAAGGAACCAATCACAACTCTACTTACGCGAGTTTTCAAGCACATCACGTAAGAGTTGAATATTCACTCTACAACACCCTACCCCTAAGTCCCCTCTACAGTACCTTTCACCCTCCCTTATGTCCCCTCTACTTACTAGTCACCCTATCTTAAGTCCCTTCTACGTATTAATCACCCTCCCCTAAGTCTCCTCTACCTACTAGTCAGTCATCTCGGTCCCAGGGAGCGACCCTGGGAACGGGGTTGCTAGTCAGGCATTTAGCCAGGCGGTCGTCCAACCGTCCTATGGATGGCCACTTTTAAAATAAGACGGCCACTTTTTAATAGACGGTCATGGACGACCTAAGAAAATGTTTTTTTAAAACCTAAAAGGTTATCAGCTGTACGTTGTTTATCTATTCTACAAGAAAAGACGCTGAATTATGAGTATATCACCACTGATTTCAAGCTCCATGTTTTTTTACCATGTTCGTGAAAATAGGTTGTCACACCCATAGTATTTTTCGGACGGCCACTTTTGACACCCTGGCTAGAAGCCTGTTGCTAGTCAGTTTGGCAAATACAATCGCAACGTCAATGAAGACGTCGTCTTCAAGACAAAAGCGATTAGAAATTGCATACGTGAGATTTTACAGCACTCACCACGAAAGGTTTTGCTTTTCCGCGCAAGACTTTCAATTTACAAACCTCGCGTGAATCGCGTATCCTCACGCACAAGATCGGGCGGTAAACAAGGTGCATTTCCTGAGGCAACGAAACATTACACATAAGCTAAGAAATCCTGTTGTTTCCTGAGCCATTTATTGTCATTAATCAATGCAGCTCTGCATACATTATTGAGTATGTCACCCAATACGTGTATTGAAACACCTATAACACTTATTGGGTGTCAATACGTCTGATCAGTGTATTTGGTGTTTTGCTAACACAAAAAGCACTTTGGTGTTGTAGTAGTATTCGGATAACTTGATTTATACGCAAAGTTGATTCTAGCTGCAGTAAGTGTGTGAATACCTGCATGCTAAACTGGACATAGGGTTGTTCATTGTTTATCATACACGTACCTGATATCAGAAAAAATATTTGTAAAAAACTTAAAAAGTGGAGTGGACTTTAAATCGACTTGAGTGACAGCGGCTGTGATGATGTGGAAGAAAGTCTTGGCTGATAATGAACGTTCACCAGTGGGAGAGTTTAGAATTCCACAAGTAATGTTGATAAGTTCTAAAAAGAAGTGATCAGTATATAAACAAATTTGGCCAACGTTGTTTACATGGTTGCTGACCAATTAGCCTTTCTCACGCCGCCATTTTTGGGTGGCATTTCAGCCGAAGTCTGCGAAATAAGTCCACATAACAGCGACTTTTTATATTTTTTCTGACAAATGATGGTAAATTTGCTTTGTAAATGGTTAGTTTATTTTGAAAAATTGCTCTTCACATTGTTTTAGTTGTCTGCATTGGTTAACGAGAATTAGATGCCACGCAAAAATGGTGGATATTCGTCATCGTGAGAAAGGCTAATTCACAACTTTAAAAAACTTACTATTGTTCTAGGCAAGAAGAAGGCAAGGCAAGAAGAACGAAATCCAACACCACAGCTATTAACTACAATCCTGGTTTGATCATAGTGCTGGCTAATTTAACCAAGATTCCTGGCTCATTTAACCAGGCTATATGGTTGAATCAACCAGATTATGTTAGGTGGATTATTAACCAGAAATCTTGGTTAAATTATAGCCAGGATTATGATCACGTTAACCAGGACTGCGGTAAAATTAACTACATGCAGGTTAATTCTGCTGACTTGAGATCACCTAAATGGTCTATATAGACCCATTGCACATGACGTCACAGTGCCGGTGACGATGCATCTGGAGGACAAATTAGCAATCTATGCATAATATAACTTTTGTAAACAAAGCAAATTTTGTGAAACTTTATAATAATTTTGTACTAAAATGGTTAATTTTTGCGCTGTATGTATGTGGTTGTTGTACTCGAACAGATATTGTTAGGGAGCATCTGGAGGACACTCTAAGGATATGTGACGTCAGTGCAATGGGTCTATACTGTGCGTGACTCACCTCGCCACATCTGTGATGTGAGTTCACAACAATATATCCGGGAGGTAAGGACGTACTTCAAAAGAATGTTTTGATAATCTGTAACAAATGCTTTATTCTGGCTTTTAAGGGTGGTGATTACATGGTGAACAAGATCTTTACCATTCAGTCGACATCGATCACCTGCAATTCATGTACGATCGCGCGATTAGTTTATAAAGGATTCGAATAAACTGATGGGAAAATACAAGATGGGATAAAATACAATTACAAACTACATATCACAATTTTAAAATTGTTAATGATAAAAACATCACTGGAAAAGATTTTGAAAATCCATAGAAGGTCATAGCATGGAAATTGTATGGACCTTTATTGGAAATAGAATGGATTTTGATTATCCATAATAATTGTATATTTCCATGGTATGGATGTAGTATGGAAGTAGTATGGATATACTATGCATTTAATGGTGCAATTGCAAATTTCGTATCTAGTATGGATTTCACTTTTTTTTCCAGTGCATTACAGCACCTAGATTATGATCGTTCCTGTTTCGGCTGACAAAATGTTTCCAATTTGTTTTTAGGTAAGTGTATAATTCTAACTATACAAACAGAGTTCGCAGCATATTATAAAACATTAAATTTTAAAATTATGACAGAAGTACGTACCATAGGATTGAATGTTCAACGTTGTAGAGGAACACTTAGTTTTTGACTGGTAAAAAACTAAATGACGTTGGAAAAAGAACCGCCATTATACTTACGTTCATCTGCTGTTTTGATGACAAACTTGAACAGTGACATCACTTCCTAGACAACATTAATATCAACCGTTTGTACGAAATTCACAAATGCTTTAAGAGAAATTAGTTTCAAATTAAAATAGTCTTAAATTCCTAAAAACATATATGGATGTCATAGTTTATGCCGTGTAAATTTTATCTAGCCTCTATACCACTGATCTAGAAACACTTAACCCTCCACTCGTTTTAGATTTCAGAATATCGTTTTAAACGTTTCAAACAAACACCAGAATTACTAAACGTTTTTAGACATACTCTTCTCGATTCTGAGATTTAGTTCAAATTCTTAGACTTTTAAAAAAGAGTCATATTGGGCATTACCAAATTAAACCGATCACAGACTTTATTCAACAAGCATTACTTCATGACGTCACGAGAGGCACAGTATTTGATATCTTACAATACAGGTAGCAAAGTAACTCAAAGACGGCATTAGATATTCTCTCTCTGTCTTCTGCAAAACTGCGTGAGGGACTGTAAACCCAGGGGCGGCGCTAGACCTCTTTGGATGAGGGGGGGAGGGAGCGGTGGCGGCGTCTCAACATGAAAACAAGTTTTCCGTACATCATATCTGTCATCTTAATTTGTGTTTAACTACCGTTGTTCGTTCCATTTTTCCCTAATGTGTTCCTAAATTTCTCCACATTTTAACTATCATTCTTAATTTGTACTTATCCAAACTCATGTTTTGCCGACTACGAAAACAATTTGCCGACATTCAATATTTTGCCGACAACCTGATGATGAACGCCGCCCTAGCTGTATATAAACCTAACCTCCAATTCCCGTCATTTGTGTCTGCTTTCCACTGCTCGGGCCGGGCACGCGGCAATTAACTGAAGATATTATTTGTATTATTTATTAGACACAATATTGAAGAAGGTCAAGATCAAATAGCCGCTGCATAGCAACTCATACAGATGTTATGTTTTTGTAATTTTGTCCGAAAAGATTGAAAACGTTAAATTTTTTCAAACAAAGACCTTTCGTAAGGAGTTTTTATCGATGATTTCATTGTTGATTCCAACTCTGCAAAGCGCTTTCTAAAATTCCGAGTAGTTTTTTTCTCGACAATGAAAGTCGCGAAAAGTTCGCGACTGCTATTGGTTGGGTCTAATAAATGTGTAAAATTCCACTCGAAATTTCCATCTAGAATTACTTATATCGAGTGAGATGTTCCCCAAAACCCTGATATCTACCCAAACACCTTACATTGGCATCATCTTAGTATTTATACATGAACTTGTGGTCCAAAAACTGAACTTGGTTAGGGTGCTGCACTGGAATCGCAGGGCCGCAGGTTCAATTCCTTCCAGAGGGCCTATACAGAACTTTTCATTTTTCGAAACTGCTCCTGGTTAGGTTTAATAAATGTATAAAATGCAAACTCGAAATTTCCATCTACAAAACCTTCAGCAATTAGTTCTATCGAGTGAGATGCTCAAAATCCTGAAAAATTCAATTTTTATCTGAGTGGAAAAAATGAATTTTGAAGACTGCGTAAGCACTTTGATAGCCAGTAACCTTCTGACAAATGGCTCGTAACAATGAAAATGCTTTATCATATGAATCTTTCTCAGCTGATTCAAACAGCAACCACGGCAACTTTTATTGTACGTTGTACCGCTATACCAGCACTATAGCCTTCGAGCTATTACACATGAGTATTCAGGTGTAATATTCCTACCTGTCTCTTCTTTTCTCTGTTATTTGCCACAATTGATGAAGAAGTTTGTGAATTTCGTGGTTTCTGAGCTCGCAAACATTCAATCTCTCTCACTACATATGTTTCAATTGACTTCTGAACGAAATCCCATGAAATAACGTTCTTTTTCCCTCCATCAGAATTTGAATCTAGCAATCTCAAGATTTCCGCTTGCCGAAGTAGCTGTTTTATGTTTTCCGCATTTTTCTACAAGGAAGACATGTACAAAACGTTGGTTAACTTTTGGTTGATAAACGTGGATATAACTTGTTATCAAAATTTTATTTTGACTGTGTGAAAGTTTAATTGTATCTTACCAAAAATATCCCCCCTTCGCCCAAGACAGCGTTGTTGAATTACGTTGAAAATAGGGGGAAACTAATGACAACATTGGGTGGGGGAGAGTGGCGGGTAAACCTCGTGAAGTCAGTTAAATGTATTTTACTAAAATTCCTCATTTATTAACAGTTTTGCCCACGACTGAGTGTTGGCGAAGGTACCCCCTCTATATATGTAGGGCTCTATGAGGTGGTTTGGGAACTCCATTCCGCGTAGTACGAGTCTATACGATGAGTGGGTCGGGATCAGAAACGATATTAAAATATTTCTCATATGATGTGCATGAGTTGGTTTCGCTGTGTGCTTCAAGACCTGGCCACGGAGGATGTCGTCATTGGATGAAAATCACGAAATACACTAGCCTGCAATCATGGAAAAATACTCAGAAATTTGCAAGCATCAAAACAAAGATATAAAGTAACGCATATTTGCAGATCGTAAAACAAGTTTCTCTCGTGGCTTAAATTTTGCCCCACACAGATCAATCATGTCATCATCAAGCATCTATAGAACTGGCAAAACCTTTGCTGAGAACAATAGTGACAGGCGTATACATGCACGCGGACTTTGCAATTTTGATCAAACTCAAAACTTAATCTCGGGTCCTCCAAAACAGAAGATTTCATCGTAGTCAGTTTACCTTGCCATCACTATGCATGCGATTAACGTTAACACTCGCATATAATACAACATAGAACTCTCAATCAGGAGCAATTATATGCACTCAATGGAATCTTAAAACTCAATCAACTGATTCTACAGCATCGTGAGCCTTCTGAGTCTTCTGAAATGTGAGCACGTTTATTGTCTCACGTACTATTCTGATCGTCATTTCGTTGCATTTATGTTTTGTAAGGATAACGGTATTTAATCGTTTAAGCGCCGTGGCACCCTTTAAATTTTCAGTATTAGCGATGCGGCACTTATTTGAGGGTGGCGCTTGTTCGTGGGCAGCGCTCTTTATAAAATCTTTTATTTGTAAGTGATAAAAGGAAATATTAACATTAAAATATAACATAAAAACACTGAAATGAAAAATTGCAACCTCGTACCCAGGGCATTTTGCTTCCAGGGTTGGGAGTCACAAACAATTTCAGACGGTATTTCAACCAAGCGCCGCATTGTTGTGAATACATACAGCGCTTATTTGAGTGCTGCGCTCTTTAATAATTTTGCTCTCACATGCGGCGCCCAATCAGGGGCAGCACTCAATCAGGGGCAGCACTCAATCAGGGGCAGCGCTCAATCATGGGCGGTGCTCAATCAGGGGCGCCATATATAATCAGGGGCGACATATATAATCAGGGGCGACATATATAATCAGGGGCAGCGCTCAATAAGGGGCAGCGCTCAATAAGGGCAGCGCTCAATCTGGGGCGTCATATATAATCAGAGGCGCCATTTATATATCAGGGGCAGCGCTCAATTAGTGGCGGTGCTCAATTAGTGGCGGTGCTCAATCAGGGGCGGTGCTCAATCAGGGGCGGTGCTCAATCAGGGGCACCATATTTAATCAGGGGCAGCACTCAATCAGGGGCAGCGCTCAATCAGGGGCAGCGCTCAATCAGGGGCGGTGCTCAATCAGGGGCACCATATTTAATCAGGGGCAGCGCTCAATCAGGGGCGGCGCTCTATCAGGGGCGGCGCTCAATCAGGGGCGGTGCTCAATCAGGGGCGGTGCTCAATCAGGGGCGGTGCTCAATCGGGGCGGTGCTCAATCGGGGCGGCACTCAATCAGGGGTGGCACTCAATCAGGGGCGGTGCTCAATCAGGGGCGGCGCTCAATCAGGGGCGATAAAATGATAAAACAGACTGATAAAATGCATTAGATCTAGGGATTATTTCAATGTTGCCACACATACTGTGAATGGGTTTGCAGTGATGTAAACCTACGGGCAAGTAGAAGTTGCTTCTTGTTTGCCCGATCAAGCAAGTTGTTTTATAAACCCGTTGAGCCGCAATGAGCCCCATTGCGCACTACTTATGTTCCTTACTTGTCTAATGCCAGATTTTTATTCGTCAATGGGGAAGCTCTGCAGCTTAATGGGTTAACCAAACAAATATCTGACAATGTCTCTAGTTAACCCATTGAGCCGCAATGCGCCCCATTGCACCCTACTTTTTTTTTACTTGTCTAATGCCAAACGATTATACTTGTCAATGGGGAAGCTATGCAGTTTAATTTAATGGGTTAATGTTTTGTCAGAAATTAATTGCTAGTTTGCTTCCCAATTGGTTTGCCTGTTTATGTTATGAATTCTGTTTTTGATTCTTTATTGGTAAATCAGCTTAAAATCAACACTTGATAATTTTCTTCACATGACTTTGTTAAGGACAACATACTGTGAGATTAGAATGTTGATTAATCATTCTCAAATCATTAATAATTCTGAGCAATTCAGCCAATGATAATCACCTATTGGGTCGTTCCAGAAAAGATCCATACTCCCCCCACGGAGGAAATTTCTGCCGTCCGGAGGGGGAGGGGAGAAAAAATTGTTTCTGATAATAGTAAATGTATTAGGACATCCGAAGGGGGTAGGGGGTTAACTTCCTATTTCCTCCGTGGGGGCGGTATGGATGTTTTCTGGAATGACCCATTTGATCACAAGATGCCATTTGGATAACCCGGTGAAACTTGATGAAAGTCACTAGTGTTTTCATCAAATATCTTAATTATGTTAAGAATAATAAGTTCCCGCCAAATTATATAACGCTAAATATGATTGGTTAAAGATTAATGAGATTCTCTTCTCTGATGTGTACATTCGGTCGGACATGTTTTAGAAAATCAATTCATATTATTAAGTCTATTAAAGTTATGTTTATCTTCAAATAAATAGTTATACAATCGAAAGTGAGCGAATATTTCAATAGGTTATGGGCCCAGGACGTGTGGAATTGAATTAAAACGTGTTTATTTGTCCTGTTTGGCGGAAATTTTGGTGAAAATACTTCGAGTCTAATATGGCGGAAATTACGAAGATCGATAAGCTAAATGGCAAGAATTATCAGTCTTGGAAATACAATGTCAAGCTAGTTCTTATGGAACGTGGCCTTTGGGGCTTTACACAAGAAGGCAAAGAAATACCTCCTGACGAAGATGCGACAAATGCTGTAAAGAATGCTTTCCAGTTGCGATCAGATAAAGCCTACTCTCTGATTGCCTTAAACGTCGAGAAACACTTGCAAATACACATTTCGAGTACGACAGATCCTTTAGCAGCATGGACGAACTTGAAAAAACAATTTGAGTTTGTATCTGTTACCGAAGTCGTGCGTTTGAATCGTAAATTCTACGCAGCCACCATGGAAGAAGGTGGAGATCTTATGAAACACCTGACCTATATGACATCATTGGTAGAACAACTGCGTGAAATGGAAGAAGATATATCATCAAAGAAATTCGCTACTGTGGTGCTAGGGAGTTTACCCGAATCGTATGATAATCTCCTCACAAGTTTGAATGCGAGAAAAGCTGAAGAGTTGGAATGGGACAATATAAAGGGATTGTTAATAGAAGAGTATTTGAAGAAGACATGGTGAACATTCTAGAAATTGGACTCCTGTAGACTACAAGCCATCATGGAACACCAATAAAGGTGGGGATACATTGACACCAGCAGCACAACAACGTGATGATGGAAGAGCAAGAAATATTTTATGCTTTAAGTGTAACAAAGCTGGACACATCGCCAGGAACTGTCCACTCAACTATAGAAAAGGTGGAAACAAAGGGGAACATTCGAAGCTTGCGGAAGGTGGTGGAGTAGCACTGATTTCAAGCACAGGAAATTCAAATGATTGGTATGTGGATTCAGCTGCGACAAAGCATATGACAAATCGCAAGGACCTTATCATCAACTACACTCAATACCAAACACCGGTGAATATTTATTTGGGTGACAATACCTGTATCAAAGCTCTGGGTGAAGGAATGGTTAAGCTATATACTCAAAATGACAATACATTCTATTTGGAGTTACACAAAGTATTGTATGTGCCGATGTTAGCAAAAAACCTATTGTCTGTGCCTGCAATGGCTTCAATGGGAGCTAAAGTGTCATTCGATGACGAAAAATGTGTTGTTTACAAAGAAGATAAAGAATACGTGATTGGTAAATTGGTAGATGGTATGCTGTATACCGTTAATCCAGTTGAATTTGCCCATCCTACAACTGAACCCTTGGATATGTGGCACCAGAGATTTGGTCATCTAAACAATGGATATGTTAATCAACTGATGAAGAATGATATGGTCACTGGAATGATGTATGATGAAAGTAAACAAGTGGAGAAAGATTGCAAAGGATGTTCAATGGGAAAGATGCATAATAAGAATCCCTTTCCAAAAGCAAGTCTACATAGGGCAAGCAGACCTTATGAAATCATACATACTGACAATGTGGACCAATGCAAGTTGAGTCAATTGGCGGTAGCCGTTATTTGGTCACATTTACTGATGACTATTCCAGATATGCTGTTGCTTACTTTATTAAGAAGAAAGATGAAGCACTTACTAAGTTCAAGGAGTTTGTGAATTACGTTGAAAATCAAGATGGAAATCATAATAAAGTGAAGATTCTGCGCAGCGACAACGGAGGTGAGTACAAATCGAACAGTTTCTCCAAATTCTGTACAGAGAATTGCCCCTAGTCTTCTGGGCCGAAGCATGCAATACAGCTGTGTACCTACATAACCTAAGTCCTACAGTTGCATTAAAGGACAAAACCCCTCATGAATGCCTTTTCGGTAAAAAACCAGATGTTTCTAATCTTAAAGTCTTTGGATGTATGTGCTATGTTCATATCCCGGACAGTAATCGTAGAAAATTAGACCAAAAGTCTTATGAAGCTATATTTGTTGGTTATCCTACTGGCACAAAAGGATACAAAGTTTATGATGTTAAAAGAAGAAAGTTCATGATAAGTCGAGATGTTCAATTCTTAGAGAAGAAATTTCATAATTTTGAGAACCCAAAGAATGACTTTGTGTTTGAGCAGACAGAGAGAATTGAAGTTCCGGATGATGAAAAACAAACTGTTGAGTTATTTGATCTAGATAGAGTTGATGAACTTGATGATCAAACCTTCAACGAAGATCAGGATGAGTTCAGAGTGGATCCTGTTGTTGAAACAAACATTAACTTGAATGA